GTTATCATATAAAATTCACAACAATCAATGTGAAAGGAATGCTGTCCTGGGAGATGTTAAAGTTCATTCCTAGTCTACGGAGGTTAATAAAGTTACATGGAATTATTCAGGAAGTAGGTTTCCCTTTGAGCAGTGCAGCTGTTGAAAGAAGTCTCTCTTTTTTAAGGAATATTGAAGATTTTATATAAATTTTATCTCAGGGTGGATATGAGCAATACCCGCCATCCATGGGCACACATCTGATGTTGGACTTGGGTAACATCACTCCTCCCTTAGTGGAGATGTTATTTTCTAGAGGAAGATAAACACATTGGAGAATGAAGAGTTGTTTTAACCATTTTCTGTATGTTTAGTCCATTCCTATTTCTGTGAGATTCTGTCCTGTTACAGAGAAAATCAAGGTAGGAACTTGGTTTCCAGCGAGTTGCTTCTCACACCTGTGTGTGTTCACACGGTGATGCTCTAATTTGGCGGATGAAATGGATAAACCCTGTGAGACAGTGTGGCAGGTGCCAGGTATAGAGGTGCCACTTGGGTTTCTAGCTCATCACTGAAATGTAGACACGGGGTTCTGCTCCCACTCGGGGTGTAACATGAGCTTTGCCATCTTGGGTCCATATCCGCGGCCATGCTCACTGTCCCCCTGGCCCGAGCAGGTGTCTCCATGGTGCGTCTCCGGCACAGTCACCCCTTGGCCTGTGGCACGTTCTCCCCTGCAAGGCCTCCAGCTGCCTTGTGGGGACTGAGTGATGGAGGATGTTCACGCTCCCACTTCCTGACTCAGGAACCTCTGATGGGGGCGGGCCCCGCCCTGCTTCTCACACTCTCTGGTCCAGCAAAGGCGGGCTGGGCCCTCACTATCGCTTTCTTTACTTCCTCGTATTCTGAGCTGCAAGCTGTTCCTTCCACATTGAAATGAGGTTGCAGATGTGACTTTGTTAGTTTCTTGCCATGAAGGGTTGGTGAGTAAATTCAAGGAGAAGATTCTAAATCTTGATGGGAAATAAATATAAACACCAATAACTTTCCAGAGCTCATGTGTTTGCTGTGCTGAGCTGTCCCAGGTGTGGACAGGAGATGTTTTGAAGACCGAGTGTCATCAGGGCCGGTGCCCAGGTGGTGCTCAGTGCATCATGGGCTTTGATGTGGCCACTCCTTGGCTGTGTCACCTCTCTGCTCCTCTGATCTTGTCCCTCAGTGGAACCTTGTCCCACCAGGACCTATGGCCACTAGAACTCAGATATGACTGAGGCCTTGTCACGTGTCCTGATGCAGCGCATCTCCAGGACATTGGACAGCGAGGCCTTTTTGGGTTTTCTCAGCCTGGGTTCAGGCCTGGATGGGGCACCAGCATCCATCTTCTGGGTGTTTGTTGTTTCCTGGATTTTGTAGATATTATGCCTGTTACTATTTTCATGTGTGAGTTATGGTCTCACTCTGGGTTCCCGCATCTGACATCACAGGGTATATGTTCCCTGTCATTGTACCACAGGCCCAGGGCTCTCTGCACACAGGACCCCATGGTGTGGAGAGATGGGTGTTCAGGCTCTTGCTCTTACTCTTGCTCCTGCTCTTACCTCCTTCCAGGGCCCTATTCTCCCCTGTCAGCCCCTCCCTGCTGCTCCTGAGGGTTCCTAGAACTCCTGGGTTCTTGAAATCACAGTGGAGATGATAAATATGTAGACATCACCAATAATGATCCTTATTC